ACCATAGACTTTGAGGTATTTGATTCTTAGATCATTAGCAGCTTCTAGACCTAGGATACAAGCTTCATATTCATCGATATTATTGGTGCAATCAAAACATAACCTTGTAGTAAACGATTTATGAAAATTCTCCGAAGAAGTTAATACAACCCCAATTCCATGTCCTAGTGCGTTGGAAGCACCTTCAAACATGAGTGTCCATCGTGCCCCTAGTTCAGGTCCTTCGTGGGATCCTAGTACTTCGTAGTCACCTATAACCATGATATCTTCGTCTGGAAAGTCAAACTTCATTGGTTGATATTCTGGAAATGATTGATGAGCCAAGTGGTCAGCTAGCACACTGCCCTTGATAGCCTTTTGAGTAACATATTAGATGTCATATTCGGATAACAACATCTGCCATCAAGCGATTCTTCCTGTAAGAGCTGGATTTTCAAACACATACTTCAAAGGATCCATTCTTGCTATTAACCACGTGGTATGAGTTAACATATACTGTCTCAGTTGTTTAGTGGACCAAGCTAGAGTACAACAAGTTTTCTCAAGGAGTGAATACCGGGTTTCATAGTCGGTGAATTTCTTGCTCAAGTAGTAGATGGCGTGCTCTTTTCTTCCTGTTTCATCGTGTTGCCCTAATACACATCCCATAGATCCCTCAAGTATTGTTAAGTACATGATAAGTGGTCTTCCAAGGACAGGTGGCATCAAGACCTACGGTTCTTGTAAATATTGCTTTATTATTTCAAAGGTTGTTTGACAGTCATCATTCCACTCCACTGATTGGTCTTTTCGAAGTAATTTGAATATAAGCTTTCACATAGCAGTTAGGTGTGATATGAATCTTGATATGTAGTTCAATCGTCCTATGAAACCACATACCTCTTTTTTTGTTCTTGGAGCTGGCATTTCTTGTATGGCTTTTACCTTGTCGAGATCCACCTCAATACCTCATTTACTTACAATAAAACCCAATAGTTTTCCTGACTTGACACCAAATGTACATTTGTTTAGATTTAAACTCAGCCTGAATTTTCATAGACGTTCAAATAACTTTTGTAAATGAATGATGTGATCCTCCTCCATATGGGATTTGGTAATCATATCATCTATATATACCTCGACTTCTTTGTGAATCATGTCATGGAATAATATGACCATTGCTTGTTGATAAGTTGCCCATGTGTTCTTTAGACCGAAGGGCATTACTTTGTAACAGAAGGTGCTCCAAGGAGTCATGAAAGTAGTCTTTTCCATATCCTCAGGTTCCATTTTGATCTTATTATATCCTGAGAAACCATATATGAAAGAGAATACTGAAGCTTGAGCTATATTGTCTACCAAAACATCTATGTGAGGTAACGAAAAATCATCTTTGGGACTTGCTTTGTTTAGATCCCGATAATCTACAGACATGCATACTTTATGATCCTTCTTGGGTACTGAAACGATGTTATCTATCCAAGGTGAATAATATACCACGGCTAGGAACCCTGCATCAAATTTCTTGAGGACTACTTCTCGAATTTTGTCAGACATGTCTGGACGAGTTCTTCTGAACTTTTGTCTGACAGGAGAACAACCTTCTTTGAGAGGTAGTTTGTGTACCACGATATCTGTATGCAATCCTGGCATATCTCTATAAGACCTGGAAAATAAATCCATGTATTCACGTAGGAGTTTGATCAACCATTCTTTAACACTTTCCTCCAAGGTTTCACCTAGCTTGATTTCTTTTGGATCCTTTTCGGTCCCAAGATTGATGGTCTTAATAGATTCTTGGTATGGTTGTATATTGTCTGCTTTTTTCTCTATTAACCTTGCCAATTCTTCGGAGAGTTCAAGATCTTTCTCATCTTCCTTTTCATCTTGGTTAATTGGTGCATCAAAATTATATCGAATAGTAGCAGTATCATTAACGGTGAGTTTAGATATAAATATGCACATTTTATCATGTTTTGGTGTTTTTTAGAATGTGAATTGGAAAATGTATATGAAGAAAAGTATTACCATTTTAAAATAAAAGAGAAATGCAAGAGAAATACACGGATCTTAATTAAATGCAAAACATAAATCTTATTAATTGAAAAACACTGTTTGAAAACAAATGTGGGGCCCTTACAAGCTATCCTTATGCCTCGGGCGGAACATAGATTCTTTTTAAAACAAAAAATTACTATGGAAAGAAAAAGATCTTTGGAATCTCCACAGCTGTCCAATTCTTGAGTTCTTCACCCGGAGCACATTCACGGATGAAGTTGGATGCTCCTTTGCCATTGCCTCTATTGGATAACATTGACACTTGTCCACCATGCTCTACTCCTTTGTTGACGAAGATTTCCTGGATGAGGGGAAATTTCCCTTTGCCTTTCTGCGTAGCTTTTGACGGTTTATAGCCCAAACCAAAATGATCTTTCTTCTCAGGTATCTCCACAAGTTTTCCCCAGCCTTTTGATGTTCGATCCTCTATAGCCGTTTGTAAATCTCTCTAAGATGCCATAGGGGTTTCAGGCTTTGAGGTCTTCTCTACTGGGACCGTAACCACTGTAGCCACTTCCAAGACTTGGAATGGCGTCTCCACATAATCTTCTCCTACACTGATATATCTGTAGGACTCCAAGTGACTTAGAAGATGTCTTCTTCACCGTCAATTATCACCAACTTTCCTTCGACGAGGAACTTCAACTTTTGATGTAGTATTGAAGTGACAACTCATGTAGCGTGAATCCAAGGTTGCCCGAGCAAGTAAGTAATATGTCGGTTATATATCCATTACTTGGAAGGTAATGTAGAACATATACAGGCCAATCTTTACAGGGAGATCCACCTATTCGAACACAGTACTTTGAGAACCATCGAAGGCTTTCACCACCATAGAACTCGGTCTTATGACAATGCCATCCATCGTCAACTTTATTAGGATGGCCTTTGGTAGTACGTTTAGGGAAGAACCAATATCGTTGAGTACTTTTGATAGGCTATTTATCCCTATCTAAATTGAAATATGCAGTGCCTTGTTGTGAGCTATACCTTGTAGAGGTAACTCACTATCATTGAAGCCTAGGCGTGATCCTGATATTAGATTGGCCATGAATCCATCAAATTGGTTTACTATGATCTCCTTCGTAACGTGTGCAGAGCTTAGAATTTTCATCAGGGATTCTCTCCCAAGACACACTCCTGCCCATGCGGGCAGCTACTTCCCAGTCTGCTCGACGAACGTAGAACAGACTACCAGGAAACACTCATAAACGCTTATGCCAATAATCCCTTATATGCTCGATAGTAACGGCTAGTTACGGGCACGAATGCCCATTTTGACCAAGTCCTGGCAGTTACCTATTTTGAGGAACCTAATATCTAGGCCCAAAAATAGGAACCAATGGTCAAGCGTCAGTGGCTTTATATAAACCCTCGCACTTGTGAGGACCAGGTATCCAACATTCACACTCTAAACCCTAATCTCTTTCTTGTATCTCTTTGCACCCATTCTTACTTGATCGTCGGAGTGCCTTGCAGGTACACCCCTCTCCTCTCCTCAAACTTCCAGCCAAGCAACCGTCATCCTTCGCCCCACTTTCAGGTTCTGCTCAACCGGTAGGATCAAATATTACTCTATATATTGATGTTTATAATCAGAATCATAATGAAAGGTTTTTACAAGAAGTTTAATCAAAGAAAACATAATTTCACAAGATACCACCAACGAGAGTGCACATGAATCACTAATCAAAATCTTCTGCAACAATCTCACATGAATCTCTTTCTTTTCTCATTTCCAACTATCTCAATATCAAACTCAAATTAACAATAATAAAAAGAGAATACAAATTACTACCTCTGACTTTTCTTTGAGCATTCTCATTGAAACATTTCTCCTAGGTATTTTATCAAATAGCTTATGAGCATTTTCATGGTTGCATGTTTCAGCATATCATTTACACAAATACAATATCTTGATAACAACTTAGCATCAACCAACCTGGAATTGACAAATTCAATCCTTTCGTGACCTTCCCTTTCTCGATTCAAATATGATTTTCTTCACTGAATTTCTTAAAGAAATGCTTAAATTTTTTTTGGAGGAATGTCGTTCAAAAATTGTTTGAGAGATGAAGAATGTGGAGAAGTGAATGTTTGAGAGAAAGAAGTGAGGAAGATGGTGAAGAACATGAAAATTTAGAGAGGTTTGTAACCCCCATAACCTAACTCGTTTTTTGAAGTAAATAATAATGTTGACGTTAACTGATATGACGTGTCACGTTAGCTTCCATTAGAGCACATAGACAGCATAATCAAAATTGTTGACGAAAAACTGTAAAAGAACTATTCTTTGAAAAAAAATTATATAAAAACATATTTAATTCCTCTTTTATATTAGAATTTTAAGATTATAAGATTTAAGTTCCTATAACCTTATCTTGGAGACACGTGCCTCAAAGGACAAATATCCTGAAATATTAATTTGAATTGATTGATAGTCGCAGTTGGATGAGTGTTTCTATGACTCAATTAAAAATATTTACAATAAAAAATTAAAATAAATTAAAGAATTATATTGATAATTGGTAAATAATATGTATATTTTAAAATCTAAAATATTACTCACTTAAAATTGTATTGTAAAAATATTATGAATAAATATGTGAAAAGAAAATAAAAATATATTTATAAAATTCAATTATTATTATTATATTTTAATTATTTTATAAATATTTCTGAAGTATCTTTGAATGTAGTGTCTGAATTTTTTAATCCGGTTCAGTTCCCATAAATATAGTTATAAAAGTTATAATAAAGCACCGAAAGTGAAAACTTTTTAATCCGGTTCAGTTCACAAAATTTTCGTTTTCTTTCTCATTTGGTCCTAGTCAAGTTTTCTGGACTCTGTACTAAGCATCTCACTCTAACAAACACCAAGAGAGAGAGAGAGAAAGAAAGAAAGAAAGAGAGGAGAGAGAAAGAGAGGAGAGAGAGAGAAAGAAAGAGAGGAGAGAGAGAGAATGTCTTCCCCAAGCAAACGGCGAGACATGGATGTCATGAAGCTGTATGTTTTCTTTTCTTCTTCTTTTTCTGATTTCTAACAGTTTTTTTGTCTGAATTTCTTATAGTTTTCTAATTGGTGTGTGTTGGATTTATATGAATCAGGATGATGACTGATTACAAAGTGGAGACGATCAATGATGGCATGCAAGAGTTCTTTGTCGAATTTCACGGGCCTCAAGACAGTAAAGTTCTTTTCTTTTTTTTTTGTTTCAATTTTCAATCTTTTTTGTCTCACCATTGAAAGATTGAAATGTTCTTCTTTAGATTCTATGTGTTTGAATTCAATGCGAGGTTTTTGTGTGTTTGGATCAGTATTCAACAGTTTCTACTGAGTACTGTGTGTTTCTGATATACAGATTATGATGGTTTTGTAGTTCTGCTTCAATTTTGTAGCTTAATTGTTTGCTCATTTTCCTCAATGAGGATCAATTGCATTAGGATCTATTATTGGTTTTTCTGTTTATTTTTTTATGTGTGTGCAAGTTGTAAATGGTTAAAAATAAGAGATTTTGATGTTTAAATGACACATTTTGTGATTTTAAAGGGGGAACTGAAGTGGGTTTTTCTTCTTCTGTTTTTTTATTCACTTTTGTTGGGACTTGTTGCAGGTCCTTATCAAGGAAGTGTGTGGAAGATAAGAGTGGAGTTACCTGATGCTTATCCTTATAAGTCTCCTTCTATTGGTTTTGTCAACAAAATTTACCATCCTAACGTTGACGAAATGTGAGTTGTTCGTACCAACTAAAGCTTCTTTGTTTTCTAAGGGACATTGAATGAGTTTTAAGAAAGAAGGCTAGGGTTCTAACTTAATAAAATTTACTAACCACAAAAAAGCTTCGTTGTTTTGTATTATATATAAGAAGCACTGTTGTCCGCCATGGATGGAACCTATATTGGTTGTTGTGTATGTGCACACAAATTGTTATACTCAACAGCTGATCAAAATGTTTTTTTCTTTCTGATATTCAGGTCTGGTGCGGTTTGCTTAGATGTTATTAATCAGACTTGGAGTCCAATGTTTGGTAAGCATAATTAACAACCTATAGTACCTTATATATATGTATATTGATGGTAAAGAGTATTACTAAAATTGCACTTGCTATGCATTTAATTCAACTTTGTTTGGTTGTTAGTTTTGCTATCTTACGTTTTTCTTATTTTCGTCCAGATCTTGTTAATGTGTTCGAAGTGTTTCTTCCTCAACTTCTTATATACCCCAATGCAGCAGATCCATTGAATAGTGAAGCTGCTGCCTTGATGATGCATGACCGTGCTGCATATGAACAAAAAGTCAAAGGTAATAATCCTTGTTAAATTCCTACAGTATGAAACTGCAACGCCTGTTATATGTGTAGGTAATCAATTTTAAAAGCATGAGAGTTTCTTCAATATTGTTGACCACAAGTAGTCATTTTTCATCTAATTTCAATTGAAGGCTGAAGATTGTGCAAAATGATTTATGTTCCATATTCAAATGTATCAACTCCTACCCAATGCCTCATAAATAATGCATCAACTCCCACCCCAGGAACCAATAGAGTTTGAATGTCTTATGTTCTCACTTGCCAACTCATATGTTAGCAGCACCCACACACTTAACCTAGCTGTATGTGCTATAAACTTTCGGGTTTGAATTCATAGAGCTAGAGGGTTGTTCTGTTCTTTTTGGGTTGCTAATGGGCAAATTGATTTCTCAATTTTTTGATGTAGACCATTCTATAATTTATGCCAACTAATCTTAATTCATTTTTCACAAAGCAAACATGGACGGTGAAGAAAAAATAACAACCAATCATTTTCTTACTAGGTAGAGTCAGCTATATGGATCATTTGATGTCATGAAGTCATGTCATGTATTGGGTCCAAAGATAGATAATCCACCTCTAAATCTCTGTCGATGTTTTAACCTGTATTTTTTTTTCTTGATCTCCCTCTGCCTCTAACTGTTGGATTATCCTTCATCTAGATTAGTCCTTGCAATGTTGCTCTTATCGGTCCTCTCCGCACATGCCAAAACAGCCTAAGACGAGATTTTACCATTCTCTCTACAATAGACTCTACTCGTACCTTGATTTTCGATTCAATGAATGTTTTTTTGAGCCTATATTAGTCTTGTGTGATCACTCACCCAAGAATTTATTGCTTCATCTTTTGTTTAAATAAACAGTAAGCCGAATGACCTGTTTGCAACTGTTTGCACCATATTCCTTATGAATTGATAAGTACTTATTTATAATAATGGCAATCAGTGTACATTTGTGTTGTAAAATAAGAGCTTTTGAATTCCAATACTCAAAATAGTGACGTACACCTTAGGTTACTTATATCGATGTATTGCTGGATATGATATCGACAGCTAGAGTAATAAGTAATGTTTAACAAATGAATTTGAAACAATTTTTAGGTTCTGACTTTCTGATCGAAGCAGGTCATTTCCTATTCACTGCAATATAATATAACATCTACTTAGCTATTCTGTGCATCTATTTTCATATTAGTCTAACATCATATCTCAAAATGTTGTTCTATTTTGTGCATCTATTTTCATATTAGTCTAACATCATATCTCAAAATGTTGCTCTATTTTGTGCATCTATTTTCATTGATATTAATTTGTTAGAAACAATGAACAGAATATTGTGAAAAATATGCCAAGCCAGAAGATATTGGAGCTTCTAAGGAAGAAGATTCTAGTGATGAAGAGCTGAGTGAAGATGATGATTATGCCTCGAGTGATGACGACATTGCCGGCAAACCTGATCCCTAAATTGTTATACATACAATGTCTGCCTTATTACATTCATGCTTGTACATGTCTACATTCATGCTTGTACATGTCTTCATGATACGATATGATATGATATTTACTGGAATTAAGAGAAACAATTTCTAAAGGTTGAAGGAAAAATCCTCACCTTTCTATCTGGCTATTCCTTGAGGGGTTTTGTAAATTTCTTAATGGTTTAAATGTTTCATATATTTACTTTTATCACTAATTACTATAAAGTTCAAATTCTGAAGATTCAAACTGGTTTTTGCATATGAATGCATTAAATTTGACACCCTCTCACCAGGATGAAACAGTTCTATTAGAACTCAGAAAATATGTTAATAACTTTCTCTGCTATATTATGTTTGGAAAAAAGTTATTTTCTAATAAGGTTATTTCTAAATGAATAATTTGAGATGTATTTACCTGTGGTCCTGTATATTACCTTAGAGTCTTGTCTATTGTTAACAAGAGAATTGATGAAATGTTTTGATATATAAAGACGAGTAGGGGTGGTCAAATGGGTCTAGCCAATTGGGCCCGTTTCGCCCCACATTTTTTTTCTAGAGTGGGTCAAAGTTTTGGCCCGTACCTTCTAATATGTTTGTCTCGTCCTGAGTTTTTTGAGCGTGGACATTAACAATTTCTTTTATATTTTCTAGCCTTTAGAGCCGCAAAACATGCATGCTTGGCCTATCCTGCCTTTGTTTTTTAGCGGTGCGGGGCAAGGTTTTAGGTGCGCAATCTCAATTATGTCTGCCTGCCCTCTCAATTATGTCGGTCCATTTTATTTTTTTTCGAGCTTTTACGTGTAACTCATATATGAGTTTATGATTGTATAATATTATTGTAGTATTGTTTACTGTGAAATTTGTTGGAAATCCACTAAATATTTATGATGAATTTCTACCAATCTTGATAAACAAGATTGATATCACCACACAATGAGTTAAGAGAAAAGAAAATAAAAGAAACAATGATTACAAAATATGGGTTACTCTCTCTATTTATTGTTCACAAATAGTTGTCCTGTCTTGTTTCAGGTATTAATCTGGAACTTGTTTGAAAGAAAGATAGTTTCCTCGGCTTGTTTCGGGAGTTAATCTTCAATATGCTCATGTAGATAGTTTTTCTGTCTTGTTTAAGGTATTAATCTACAATCGGTTGTTCATAGATAGTTGTCCTGTCTTATTTCAGGTATTAATCTGGAACTTGCTTTTATTGGTCGTTGAGATAGTTGCCCTGTCTGTTTTCAGGAATTAATATACGACCAAATAGAAATAAAGATAGTTTCCCCGACTTATTTCGAGAGTTAATCTTCAATCGGTTCATGTAGATAGTTGTCCTGTTTTGTTTCAGATATTAATCTACAATCAGTCGCTCACAGATAATTGTCATGTCTTGTTTCAGGTATTAATCTGGAACTTGATTTTTATTGGTCGTAGAGATAGTTGCCCTATCTCGTTTTAGGAATTAGTCTTTGACCTTTTGAGAAATGATCGTGGTATTTTTCAAAATAGGACTTTTGTTTATTTCCTTTTCCTGCAAGGAAGAGGGTTAGTTGCATGCAGATGTATGCATGGCTTGATGATGTTCTCAAAATAAATGAGATTATGCTGTATGTATTTATCATCTATGTGATTTGATGTATGAATGTGAAATATTTGTTGAAATGTATCTTTGCTTCGGAAAATAAATCCTTGAAAAATGATGGGGGAGCTTTGGGAAGTTAAATCCTTGACTGCTTGTTGGAGATGAAGAGTATGCACCTCTTCAGACCTTGTTTTAGAATGTTTCCGCTAGGGATTCCTATTTTGTTGTTTGAGGAGAAATTCGTTGGGGGATGTTGATTTTGCTTGAGGGAAACTCTGTGGAGAGTGTTGATTTCTATTTGGAGAAAAGAGTTCAGGAGTTTTAGTTGTCTGTTGCTCTACTGGGGAGTTATACTCTTTATTGGAGAGAATGGAAGTTAACAACTTATTGGGGATAAAGATGTTAATTGTTATCTGATCGACTTCTAGGATTTGCAGCAACTCACTGATGATAGTGGTAAATACTATTGGGGAAGATGAGCTTTGTTGATGACTTCACTGGGGATTAGGAGTTGTGATCCCTCAATTTGTAAAAGTCTGAGAGGCAAACTCAAGCTGGGGAATATGTCGTTTGTTGGGTAAATAAACCCTATTGAAGAAAATATTTGACAAACTGCTGGGGAGGTGTTTTCTTTTGGCAGAACTCCTTGAGGATTCTTCTTGAGACCAACTCAGCTGGGGAGAGGTTTTCTGGAGATCGAAACTCTGGTTGGGGATTGCATGTGTGATCGGTGGATCTAGAACTGACTGTTTAACGCTGGTTCGTGAAATGTCGCGGAAGCAAGAGTCGCCACCGTCTTTTATTTTCTCCAAATGGAAAGGACAAAAGCACAGAAAAATTCCTTAAAAGAGATTGCTCTCGGTTCGGGAGGTAGGTTATAGAAAGGGAAGGTGTTAGCACCCTTTCTATCCATGGTTATCCATGGGCTCTTAGATACTTGCTCACTTGTGTGTTCAAAAATGGTTTGTTTGCTTTTCAATGTGGGTTTTTAAAAAAGTTTCTTTGAAAATTTCGGTTCGACTCTTGTATCGGTCCTCAAGAGTGTTTGAAAAATTGCTTTCGAAAGCTTTTTGAAAAGGTGTCGGTGTGAAAAGTATTTTTTGATTTGTTTTTGAAATTAAAGCAAGTATCTAAAGTTGTCTACCTACCCTAAGGAATTCGTCTGTGTAAATGTCCTTTAAAGTAGTGCCATCCCACCATTGAGAGGTAGGTAGCACCACCGTTGGAGGTGTTCGGGTCAATTCGAGGGTTCGGGACATGGTGATCACCAGAGCAATGGGAAGACACCTTAGAAGCTACCCTCATGCCAGGTTCCCGGATCATGAGGACTTACTAAGACATCCTCTACTCGACGATCACCTTTCGAGGCAAGACAACAGTGAGGCGTACCCTAGGGGTGGTGTGTGATTTGTGTGTCGTTTTCAGATATTTTGTCTTTTGTCATGTTAAAGGTGGTCTAGCGTTTGTTTTTATTTTTGTCCATACATTCTTTCATGCCTTGATTAACAATTAAAAAATGCGAGAAAATAAAAGATTCTAAGCTATTACAAAAGGCGCGGGTCCACATCGCCAAAATTTCTCGAACCCGATTTGACAGAAAGATAAGGAAAGTAAAGAAAATAAAGTGCGAGCAATTAGTTACATGGCCTTGGGAGAGATACATCAATATTAAACGAAATAAAATAAATATGCGAATAAGAATTAAAAAACGAGGGCGTTGGACCCTTTTTGCAAAATTAAATTAGACGATGAATTAATTAAAATTAAAAGGAAAAGAAATTGTCTTTTTTTTGGTATTTTTGGTATTTTATGATTTTTATGATTTTTATGGAAAAAAGAATTAAATGCAGTTAAACCTAATTCTAGTTGTTTTTTAATTTATTAAGAAAAAATACATTAAAGTTTTAACCTAAAATTAATCTAATTAATTTACATGCAATTTAATTACAGAAATAAATATTTAAGATTTTAATTATTATGAAAGAAAAATAAAAAAAGAATAAAAATTATCATAAACCTTAGTTCTACAAATTCTAAATTAATTATGAAAACATTACTATTAAACCTAATTTAATAACTAAATCTAATTAATGTAATTTATTTATAAAAATACTAAAATAAAATATTTATTATATTTTTTCTCTTTTTCTGATTTTTTATGTGTTTTTTATATTTTATGAAAATATTAAATAATTAATAAAACAATAATTAAAAGAAAGTATAAATAATAAAAAATAAAGAAAGTAAAAAAAATGGGCAAACCTAGGGGGTTCAGACCCCAAATAGGAGGTTTTCTTTTAGCAAATCTGGCCCATTTACCCTTGGCCCGTTGGACTTTTCAGGACGCGTGTGCACGCGTTGACTAGGGTCCACTATACTCTCCAGTTCATGACCTTTGATTTGATGCTCTGGGACGCGTGGATGTTTGATTTTTGTGGGTGCACGGTGTGCCTTGATATTGAATCTGCATAGGAATATGAGTTGAAAAACAATATTGAAAGGGTGAAGACCTGGGGCTCGAACCCAGGTCATGGACGTTACCGGCCTACACGTGCACCACTGAACCATGTTACGCGCTTTGTATGTAATACTACAAACAAATAATATCAAATAAAACAAAAGCGTTAGTGGGTTTGAGCGCGAAATTTTGAACCAGCCAACCATCGCCTGCCACGAGATCATCTTCTCCATTGATTTTGTTTTCCTGAAAATATAAAAGAAAAAGGCAACGGTTTTTACACCGTTCTTTTAGGCAACATATCAGAAAATAGCGAATAGCCCCTGGGGCTCCATAAATTAGGCGCGAGGGTGGCCTTGTGATCGTCTGAGCATGCTGAATCGAGTGGCCTAAGTCTCATGCTCCAATTTTTCCATACTTTAAAACCCCCCAATTCAAAGTCCTGTAAACCCTAAAACACGACCATGGCATCTTTGCATACAGTGCATAATAATTCAATCAAAGCATATGATTAGCTTGCAAACATTATTCTAAATACAAAAATAACAATGAAACATGTTAACAATGCATGAATGATAGAAAACGATTCTGAAATTTTCTTTACCAACTTCAATGGTGATTTCACGTTTTCTTGAGTATGGGGCTTAGGGAATGATTGGAACACGTCCTATAATCCTCAAGGAAGCTAATGGAATCACTATTTGGTCTTGAATCGCCCTGCAAAAGTGTTTTCAGAATTGAGTTTTTTTGCTAATTTTCAAGTTTGCCAATGGTGTTTTCTGCGCAGCTTAGGGGTCCTTTTTACTAGGGTTGCATTCTGAACTTATGTATGAGTGAATTAGGTCAAGAAATTTGATCAAAATCCATGCATTGATGGTTTGTGAGATTTGATTTTCAAGCATTAGTTTTTCAATCTTTTTCATGCATTTTTTGTACAAATCATATC